AAGTAATTAATTACATTCATTTGAACTTATCTCAAAAGTGCGTGATTTATACCCAACAATTTTTTTTACGCGCGATCATTCATGACTAACACGCACACAAGTTCGGGCACAGTAAAATTTAAGTACTTGTGAATGACTACCGCATTGTCAACACATTCTGTTTTTTAGGGAATAGAATGGCATTTTTTTTTGGAAAAGAACTTTGTTTTTTATTTCAATAAACGATTATACTACCGAGTCTGAACCTCCTGTGTAAATTTGGGCACTTCTCAAAAAATCTCCCTGTATATTCCTCAAAATATGCATATATCTTATTTTATTTTCCTTCTTTATTAATATTTTGTAATTTTTACATCCCTTGCTGCCATCAACCATAAACTCTCACTACATCCTGGCTTGACTGGTAGAGAATGCCTTTGGGCATTAAGTCCCCCCTTGGTTACCTTCTTCTAAGGTTAGCAATAAAGCATAGATAAATAAATAAAAATAAATAAACCTATCATAGTCAAACGACCAAACATAAATCTAACAGAAATTATGTACACAAAAAAAATTGTTTCAGTTCTCTATTAGGACTACGCAACAGTCTTCGCTGTTGCATGAATGGGCAGGTCCGTCCGTGTAAGGACCACGACCTCACAGAAGACCGGCGTGAAGTAGAAGTGTTACACTTCTACGTTTCGTCTGGTGAGTAAGTTAGCCGGGGCCCACTCTATCAATGCCCGGTTCCTATTTTCAACAAACGGCCGTTATTTAGATAACTTCGTAGCTCTCATAACGACTCGTTGTAACGACTTCATAACAATGTAACTAACGGCCGTTCGTTGAATGTAGGAACCACGGGCGACGGTTATTACTTAACATCAGGTGAACCGTCAGCTCGCCTGCCACCTTCTCACAGAAAAAAAAGTACGCTCGAACAGCCTAGAAGACTTCTCGTGCGTGCAAATTGAACCTTTATTTTGCCGCCGTCGTCTCTTTACATAAGCGCTAATGCTAACCGCCAGCCATTGTTTCGTATCAATCGGCACGAAAACTGAATCCGTTGCATCCATTAACGTGGTCCATTAATATGCAAGAATCAGTTCCAGCGAAGCGATAACTCCGCGCGTAAGAACTTCAAGGATTGATCTTGGTTTTTTATGTCAAAAATTGTCAAGCAAGAAGATGGTCGGTTCATTTTGGTTTGAGGACCCGATTTCCCACAGTCACAAAACGAAACCCGAAAGTTTTTTCGTACATAAGTAGGTGGGAAGCGACCTGGCAGTTCACCTGATGTGAAGTGATGAAATTGTTGTTCTATTGTTACTTTTATGTATATTCTTATTTGTGGTGGACGATAAAAGTGTATTCATTCATTCATTCATTCATTCATTCATTCACCCATGGACATTTGAAACACCCGTACGGTTGCAAATGCATTGCCGCCTTCAACTAGTTACCGCTAACTCACTCACCAGACGACACGCCGAAGTGTAACACTTCTACTTTACGTCTTCCGTGAGGTCGTGGTACTCACCCGGACAGACCTGCCCATTCGTGCAACAGTGAATACTGCTGCGTAGCCCTACCACAGTTAAAAGTATAATGCTTCGGTCTACCGTGAAACCAGCCACCTTCCAGCCTGCTTTCTTGGATCTACCACAGTGGGCTGGACTAAAATCTGATTAGATGGTGTTTATGTAAAATGGGGTCTTATTTTATAGTAGTGACTTTTTTGAACGTATTTCGCGCCTGGAGGCGTGTGGGATTTGGCAAAGATAAAGTATGTGCGTAGGATTTAGATTTATTGACATATATAAAATTACATATATATGAACTGTTCATTAATAAAAGGATCAAAGTATTGTTAGTGTCGAACGCATACAATTAGTACTGAAAGAGTAGAAATAGTAGACAAAGAATTTTCTTAATGCCAGACAGACTGAATGATTTTCCTAAATATAATTTAATTATTTACCGTTGATTGTCGACAGAGTGGCCGCTAGTTATGATAATTCCGCATTTGCATAGAAAACATTGTTTGCTGTTGAATATAAATTTAGTGTTATAGTTATACATATTAATGAGCAAATCCCGTTATTTATATATATTTTTCACGATAAAAACGAAATCATATTGTGATGATCATTAGACATAACCTAGAAATTACAGTCGTTTTTAGGGTTCCGTACCCAAAGGGTACAACGCTACCCTATTCTAAGCTGTCTTTCTGTCCGTCTTTGAGGAGGCCGATTTCAAGAACCGTGATAGTTATAAAGTTGAAATTTTCACAGATGATGTTTCTGTTGCTGCTATAAGAGAACAATACTAAAAAACAGAATAAAAAAATATTTGAGTGGGGCTCCTATATAACAGATATGACTTATTTGCCGTGTTTATAAATAATGGTACGGAAACCTTCGTGCGCGAGTACAAAACGCATATTAAGATTAATCATTCTTCACGATATATTTCCTTCTTCAAACTGTCATGGAAGAATTAGGGGGCAAAGGAAAGCTTCCCATTGGAAGAATTTGTTTTGCTACGAGGTCAATTTCATTGCTGCAGCAAAGTTTGAGAGCTCTATGTAGAGACGATTGTCAATCTTCAGTAATTGAAGTCACATCAGAAGATGACGACTAAAATATTTTAATACTAGCGGACCCAACAGGTAACATTTCGTAAAATCCGACCTCTACTCAGCGAAAGGAATATTACAACCAAATTTCAAGTATGTACGCCTTATGGTTCAAGAGATATCGTGATGAGTCAATTATCGGTGGAAATCTTTTTTTTTATGTGAATAGTTGTCAAACGGTTCACCTGATGTTAAGTGAATGGTTAGATGGCGAGATATAAGCATACATAGGGATAGACAGACAGCGGGACGACTTTGTTTTATACTATGTAAAGAAACTTCATATAGCCCAGACTCATCCACTAATTGGCCGTTTAACGCATAAAAAACAGTGAACGTATTTACAAAGCGGCACGGACGCGGATTTCGAATCTTAATTGCCTTTGAGACGTTGTTACAGTCAAAGTGGTACATACATTTCCAATTTACTGTGATTTCGTAATTTTCATAATCTGTGAAAATTTCAACTGTCTACCTATCACCGCTCATGAGATACAGCCTTGTGACCGACGGACAGACAACAGACAAATAGACAGCGAAGTCTTAGTAATAGGGTCCCGTTTTACCCTTTGAATACGGAACCCAAAAAGTAGAAAATGTATAATTATGTCAATAAAACTGTTACTATCTTGTTTAAAGAGTGATAGACGTTAGAAATTTATAATTATAGCAATCGTGTTTAATTTTGTTGACGTTTAAATAACACAGTAGATAGTATGATTGGTAACAAAGGCTATTTTCATTTTTGCGTCTACCGCAATGTCCTCGGCAGCAAAAACCGTTCGAGAGACAAGGATATCGAAGGATATAAGAGATATGCGGGTAATGTATGCAGAACAGTATGTAAAACCTTGCAAATTAACACTCAGAAATATCTAAATACGCATATAATACAGACGCCCGGTTTCTGAAACAATGATCATCGTAGAAATTAACTAATCAGCTGTCAAATGCCTTTTCAAATGTCAGTTGAGTTGTTGAAAGATGGTTAAACTCTCTGAATTGATCAGAATGGTCTTCTTAATGAACAGAATGATCAATTCAAAGTGTTTAACCATTTAGATTGTTAATTTCTAGGATGGTCAATGTTTCAGAAATCGGACACTAGATTGTTTAAAACTTTGTTAGCTTTTTGTTTTGTCCGTTTTCCTTTCTCTCTCCTTTTTCACCGACATCAAAACAGAGGAGGCTCTCAATTCGATTGGTGTTACTTTTTTATTTTATTCGTTTTGATCTTGCAGTTTGAATAAAAGTATTTGTTAATAAAAGTACTTGTTAATAAAGGTTAAGTTGAAATATTCATAAAGCGATGGTGGTTTTATTTTATTTACAGTCATAATAAAGTTCGACTACAGTACGTTTCAATTGTTCTTATTCTATTTTATCAACACATATGTTTCATTCGGTTCTAAAGTAATATAAATAAATAACACTATTACCAACAAATGCCAGGAACGCGTACTTCCTAGTGGGCCGTTAATAGTGATTTCACAGCGTTTATTTCCAAAAAAGAGATTTGCTAATTTCAGAAGTCTTAAATATGTATGTTTCGTTAAAATTTTTAGAAGAAAGTTGACGAGCAGTTTGTCACCACCGCACCGCGGGACGCACGCCTTCGGAATTCGCGCCCAGAAGAATTGAGCTTGACTCCCACTCCAGCGGTGAAAAATTCATCCAGCTCTTCATCAAACTTTAATGTTTCATCTTAAACTCGGAGATTAGCACTAAAAATTTTAAAAATTCTGAATGTTTTGCAATATATTGTGTTACTACTATACTAATTTGTCCTAGCCGTATGCTGTTATTTAATAAGACCATATAACACGGTTTTAATCAAGTTTAATTTAGATTATACTTAATAACTTTTTTAAATTATTAAGTTTTAACTTTAATTAATATGTTTCGAATATTTAAATGCGTTCACAATCACCTATTTTATTTAATGATGCGTAGTGTTCTAAAAATTACTGTTAAATGTTATTAAAACCTTGAGCTGAAATTTCGTTTAAGACCCTTTAATGTTTCTTAAATGATATAACTAACATTTCCATGTGAAAATAGTAGAGAGATTAAGTTCCTGCGAACACAGGATAATATTACACTACAAAGAAAGAGAAAAATAAAAAATTATAGAAAGAACATGATTTATGGAACAATACTGCATGATTTAATTAACATCAGACTTTAAAGTCTATAAATAACGCGAGCGACACAACGAACATACATCAAGTTTAAAGATAAGAAGCCCATTTTCGCGCGTTTTACAATGCCACAGATATCAACAATTAATCTGGAAGCGCGCGAGCGTGCGATCGTGCCTAATTCCGCGCGCCGTATGGTGTATGCGGTGGCCCTTTAAATTAAACGCTCCGCGCGCGCAATGTCACCGGCGCGCGTTGCTCGGCGACTTTTACCGAGCACATCCAGGCGATATTATAAAGGCGCGTCGCCGGCGCCGCGCGCGTTCAGTCGACGCCGCGCCACCGTACGGAGCGGACGCACTTGTGATGCAATAGACCGTAACGGACAAACCATGGAGGGGCCGCCCCCCAACCGCGAGCAAGAGCCAGACGAGGGCATCGCCACCGACCGCCGGCCCTCTAGCGACGACCACGCGGATTTGTCCGACACCGCTTCGGAGACTGGCTCCGGCGGCGGCAAGGACTCCGGCTGCGAAGTCGCCCCGGACTCTCAGGAGCCGCCCTACACGCCGCCGGACGACGAGCTTGCGAACAGGATCGTGGCCCAAGTGGAGTTCTACTTCAGCGACGCGAACATCACTAAAGACGCGTTCCTGCTCAAGCACGTCCGCCGCAACAAGGAGGGCTACGTGTCCCTCAAGCTGATATCGAGCTTCAAGCGCGTGAAGCACCTGACCAAGGACTGGCGGGTGGTCGCCGAGGCGCTGAAGCGGTCCACCAAGTTGGAGATCAATGAGCCGGGGACGAAGCTGAGGCGCGTGGACCCGCTGCCGCCGTACGACGAGACCACGCCGTCCAGGACCGTGGTGGCGGTGAGGATGCCGATAGAGCGGCCCACGGTCGAGAACGTTTCGAGGCTGTTCGCCGGCTGCGGTGAGATCGCCTTGGTGCGGGTGCTCAGGCCCGGCAACCCAGTGCCGGCGGACGTCCGCCAGTTCCTCAACAAAAACCCCAGCTTGGTGAACTGCGTTTGCGCCCTGGTCGAGTTCACGGAGTCCGAGGCGGCGAGGGGCGCGCTGCGCCTACAAAGCGACGACGAGGAGGGCATGAGGGTGTACGAGCTTAACGGGGTGCCGCGCGAGGCGAAACGCAAGGCGCCCGTGCGCCGGCCATCGAGAAGACCGGAGTACTGCGACTACTCGTCGTGCTGCAGCGGCTCCGACGCCGAGTACGACTACCGGTATGCGAACCCGTTCTACCGGAGAAGCTCGAGCGGCTTCTTCCCGCGCTCGCCCGAGGTGCAGACGTGGCTGCCGCGGCGGCCGTCCACCTGCAGCCACAGCTCGGACTCGGGGGTGTCATTCTGCGGGTCGCGGAGGGCGTCCCAAGCGAGCACCGGCAGCGAGGGCTGGCTGGCGAGGCGGCTGTCCGGCTGCTCCCTGTCCGGAACAGAGTGCGGTGGCGGCAGACGGCTGTCTTGCGCTCCCAGGTTCGAACCCCGCGTGCCCCTCGTACCGGACGGCACTAGGGGCTTCCACGCGGCGTCTAGACAGCGCCGCATATCGGACCTCGCGCTGTACTCGCGCTAGAAAGCGCCCGCGGACCGTGACGCCTCCAACGGCCTTTCACGAGGGACTCGCCACCAAACTGTTGTGATGGTGTAGATTAAGTACGTATGACGACAGTCGTGTATTTATTGATATTTATTGATGGCGGTGCCGTCCGCGGCGCGGTCGCTTCGCGTGCCAGCATGTCAGAGTTGTAAGCACAAACGAACCGTAGACAAAATCGACACTCGCTGCGATACTTAGTCGGCGATCCCTGACGATACCGCGGGCTCGTTACGTAAAAGATGCTATGTAACGTTCAACCGAGATAGAGCCCACGTCAGTTGTATCTGCCGAACGAGATTAAAAAAAAAAAACGAATCGCACCGCGCCGCCGACGGCACCGTCCGCCATTTTCTAATTTCTTTCATTTTTTTTTTAATATTTAAGTCAGGAGTAAGTCAGCCGCGCCATTAATGTCATTGTTATAGTTTCGTTTCTTTGTCGATTTCGTTCATCGTGTAATTTTATTGTATTTTATTTATCTCAGATAAGTTCCGTTGTGATTTATTGTATAGTAAATGCGATGTAAGAGTTGCGTAACGTCTACTTTCTACTTCGTGGAGAGTGTGATCGGAGATTGTTGTGTGCTCGATTTAGCTGTTTATTTATTAAGTCGTCCGGCCCGAGGGGCCTTATTGCATTGGAATAACGCTGTTATTTGCACAACGAATGGTGCTTCATCGTGAGCCTCTCGGCTGGCTAGCTGTAACTAAATGTATGTACTTTTTTTGATAATATAAGTTTTTAAAGAGCTCGGTGTTTAATTGACCTTGGTGATGGAAAGTTGGTGTGCGCGAGTTCGCCTTGGCGATCCACTCTCACGGTGTCCTCATCAGCAGATGATTACGACATCGTCGTTATTAGATGATTAATTGCTAAAAATTAAAAAAAAAAAATTCTACTTCCTTCTTATCCCATTTAGGTCTCTATAGATATTTGTTTTATTATACGATATTTTTAACAGATTTTTGAAAATTAAATAAGGTTTTAAATTAATGCAGGTACATATGATTGTCATGTGATAATTTTGTAACCGTTGGTTGAGACCACTTGTTCAGAGAATCGGAAAAAATGCAAATGGGCGATTCAATAAGCAATTTGACTAAGCTAATTTAACTTCAATTATTACAACTTTAAACACTGCGGACCAAAGTACAGTAGACTGACATGATTATCAAATACCTTAAGTAGTCCCCTCGCCTCGCTCACTGAAGAATCTTGATTACAGATTTTTATTTCAGAAGAATTTTTGAGTTTTCATTGCTTCTCGTACCAAACGGCGAAGTGCTTATCTGTGACATCGTAAAAAAGCAGTCTAAAGAGTGTGTTAACTTAAAATATAAAAAAAGTATGTTCAAATTAACCCCTAAAAATCACACCACTACAAACAATTAAATTATTTTCTTTGGTATTATTAAAATATCTACGTAAGCTTTTACAAAAAATTTTGTAAACTGAGAAAGCAGTGTAAAATATTCTTCACGTTTTACTTTAATTACTAGTAGTGACATAATGGCGGGAAAAGGGGCCACTGTCGTATGATGACAGATTTGACAGTGACACTTGCCGCGATCATGTTAACAATTTTGTACAAATGTAGCGTAAATTAAATTTATTGAATTATTAATTAAATGTATTTATGAAAGATAATGTTTTTTTATACAGCACTAATAGGTTGAATTTAAATTTATCGTAATTTTAAATACTTTTCAATAACAGAAGCGTTTTTTAGTTCATGATTTTGTTGAAGAACTTTAGATCAAAGCTGATCGCGATACAAACGCAAAACACACGAAAAAGGTTTTAGTAAAACAATAAACTTTTAACACTATAAATGCTGGATAAATGGATAAATTCCGATTATCATATGTAAAATACTATAATGAATCTATTGCTACTAAAATTGAAAAGTTTAACAATTATTGTACACAAAGAGTTAAAAGTTTGAACGACCTGCATTTGATATTACATGCAAGAAAAGAAGTGTACACTTAAATTCTATTCACAATGGAATCGAATCTGCGAAATATTTACTGTATAATTATGAACCGCAAGGAAATCTTGATATAATTCTCAAACTAACGCAAAGTAACATTCCATTCGACGCTATCTCCGTCAACTCACTTTTCCTCCGGAACTGTGTCGGACGGAATTTCAATTAACAGTAGCAGTCGACAACGACATTCGATTTTCAACCTAATCTAGCAAGAAACAAAGTGCAGAATCGCGTTGGACATTAACGTAGTAGATATGCAAATGATGCAATGCAAAATTTTATCATTGTTGAGGTAAACACAGTGTTATTCTCGGATTAAACTGCGAACATGTGCTCTAACCATTTTCACCGTTCAGTTAGTTGGCTCGCCTTCTAAGCTGCGTCCAAGGTTCGATGCCGATGTTTGATGAATAACTTGTTTTTAATGTGATAGTGATGTTATTTGTGTTACAAGCAACGGGTTTTAAACGTGATAGAGACACGCCGCAGCTTCTGTTCTTGCACTAATGGAAGGCCCTACTGGGGAAGTAACGCGTCCTCATAATGGTCTTTTTGATGATTTAGATTGTCATTTGATGATGAAGATGATGATTTTTACGAAACAAGTGCAATTAACAAGAAAAATACACAAAGAAAAATAACGACCAAGTTACTGTACGAGTTTATGATAACTTAAAGTAATTATAAAACTTTAAAATAAGTATTAGTAATAAGTCAAAGTTGTTTGTAAATAACATAAGATGAGGGCATGATGGGACTGACATGCAGATGACGCAAAGTCCCTTAAAAATAAAGAACAGAAAAAATAACGACTTCAAATATGTCACTCGGATATTTTCTATTTCATTTTGAGGATTACCCTGATGTATCTCCGAGGTCCAGTGTCAAATAACAATGAAATTAATACGGACCCCGCGTCAGCTACTGTCCATAAATGAAGGAGTTCGTAAGTAACAAACGTAGAAAGATGTGTCTTGGGCCCTGGTTGTGTGCAACCGAATTAAGAGCCCCCTCGTAAATCGAATTAGGTTCATAAAAGTATCAGTGCCTTTGCATTTCCTCCGGCAACCGAGGTAGTAGTTTCCGGAAAGGTTTCCGAATGAGTTCCGAAAGTAGACGTAGTGAATTTCCGAAAGTGGACGTACACTGTTCAGAAATATTCTTGTGACTAATACCTTTTCTTATGGTAAAAAAGGGGCAAACGAGCAGGTGGATCACCTGATGGTAAGTGATCACCGCCGTCCGTGGACACCTGCAACACCAGAGGGCTTACAAATTACTTGCCGGCCTTTTAGGAAGGCCTTTTAGGTATGCTCTCTTCTTGAATGTTCCCAGGTCGTAACGGTTAGGTAAGACCGCCGGCGGCGCCTTGTTCCACAGAGTGGTTGTGCGAGGCAGGAAACGCCTTGAAAATCGCTCTGTTGTGGAACACTGGACATCGAGGTGGTGAGCATTAAATGTTTAAACCTGAGCTCGAATCATCATCTAATCGCTCCCAAGTCATCTAGCATTTTGGATATATGTAAGTCAAATAGCTATTTCCCTGGATGGTTTGTAAAAGTAAAGTAAAGTAACAGCCTATACATGTCCCACTGGTGGGCAAAGGCCTCCTCTGTACAGAGGGTATCAGGGCATAGTCCACCACGCGGCCCCACTGCGGATTGGAGGACTTCAATATCTCCGAAATGTTTTTTTTTATTATTATATCGAGAATATGCAGGTTTCCTCACGATGTTTTCCTTCACCGGATGCACATGGCATTTCATGCAGTAGTAAGCGTACGCTGGGCAGGGTCGCCATGCGGTATTATAGTTGAAAGAAGAGAAAGAAAGAAATAAAGGTTACGTTACTTTCTACATACCACTATAGCATTTTAGGAGAGATCACTAGTCATCTCAGTTTTAGCTTGAAAATTCTAACAATATCCTTTAGGTAACATTATATATATATATTTTTTTTAAAGTTTTTTATAGTGCTAATATCTGCACTTAAGATTGAACATTAAAACATGTAGAAAAAGTACGAAAAGATTGTCGCCGCTGTGGGAATCGAACCCACATCTTCGGCATTCGCGGCCTGACGCTCTAGCCACTGAGCTAAACGGCTGATAGCCACAGCGACGAAAATCTTAACGCCTTCTTTCTACATTGTTATTTAGCATTTGAAGCAATGCTTGGCGCATCTATTGTTATATCCTTTCCAGCATACAAACAATTTCGAATATCGTTTTACAACGATAATTCGAACGAGAGATGTCGCCATTGCTTTTATAAATTTTAAAGTTTTTTTATAGTGCTAATCTCTGCACTTAAGATTGAACATTAAAACATGTAGATAAAGTACGTACTTTTTCTACATGTTTTAACATTATATATATTCCGACATGCAAAGATATAGGGTACACCTTGAATCAATTTCAATTCACCAACAGCCATCATCATCTTCCTGCCCTTATTCCACCTAGGTGGGGTCAGCACAAAATGTGGATCCTGTTGTCACTTACAACAGGATCCACATTTTGTGCTTTGGCTATGTTTTTAGGACCGCTGGCCTGCCTGACGTAAACCCTCCTTTAATTCACCGTCGAATTTCTTTAACTTTTTTGATGCGCTTTATAGTATTGTAACATGATCTAAAGGGTAAGCCTATTCTACTTGGTGACAGTTATTATTACAAACTGATCGATATGTTTAAGGTAGTCTGCAAATAGCATACCTAGGGACCTACCTATTACGTTTTGCGTTTGGCCCGTTAAGCGAGGTAAGCAAACTTCTTGCAGGTTCCTCTGGTTTGCAAACTGGTGGCAGCTGCTTGCTTTATCATTGATGACAAAATTTAAGATTTATTCAATAAATTACTTGTACTAATAAGTACACTGTTGGGTACTTCCGTAGCATTATAAAGTCAATGGTAGCACATATGTGCTCATACGGAGGGGGCACACCGAAATGATCGGGAATAAGTAAAACCACCTGCACGGCATAGCTCAATTGTATTTTATTGTTTTTCGAAGTACTCTCCGTTCAACTTAATGCACTTTTCCATGTGTGCAAACCAATCATTAAAACAGTAATTCCAGTCTGAAGTTGATGTTGACAAAATGGCTGATTTGTACGCTTCCACAGCTGCTTCGGGGTCTTCAAACCGTTGACCGCGTAATAAATCTTTCATTCTAGGGAATGTAAAGAAATCGTTTGGGCTCAGGTCAGGACCGTACGGATGGCTCATCAGCTCAACGTTTCCCCGTTTCAAAAACGTTTCGGTTTTTTCGTTTTAGTTTTTAAACATTTTTTTTAAATTGTTTGAATGTCATTAAGATTCTAAGAGGCCAGTATTCAAATTCTAAAAAAGGTTTTATTGTAACTCAATCCGAAATATTCTATTCCCGATCATTTCAGTGTGCCCCTCGTACAACACCTACATTAATCGCAATATGTAAGGTTCATACTATGTGAATTCGCTAACTCCTGGGATTTTCTTTAAATAATAGGTCGACTATTTTGTAGATTTTTAATTCTATTTTTATTTGATTCGATACAAAAACAAACGGTTCGATCGGGTTTCAAAAAAGTTGTGTCATTTGACATATCGGTTTTGCCAGGGCCGAAAGTAAATTCTTAACATCTTGCTCCCCCTCGACGACTGAAGGAGCTCGAGTAGGTGGACTTGCTGCCCCAGTGGTTGATCCCGGCAGGCAGCAGAGCTTGTGAATGGCTCGCCGGACAACCCCTTTAGACGTTTTCACATCAGCAACTCGCTGGATGCCATCCGGTCCTGTGAAGAGCCTCTGGATACGCCCCATGCGCCACTTAAGCGGGGGCACGCCCTCCTCCCTGAGCACGACCAGTTCACCTTCGTGGAGCCCCCCTTGCTTCACTCGCCATTTGGTCCTCTGCTGCAATTCGCTTAGATACTCATTTCGCCAGCGTTCCCAAAAATGTTGCCGCAGTTGTTCTATACGTTGATACCGACCCAGTCTGTGCATTTTGACATCAGTGAGGCTCGGTGATGGAAGCGAAGTCAAGGGTCTTCCGATCAGGAAGTGCCCGGGAGTGATAGGTTCAAGGTCGTTAGGATCAGCGGATAGAGGAGTCAAGGTGTGACTCTAGCAGCGGGTAAGTTACCCATGATGGGATTCATTATTTTAGCCTTTAAGATTCTACAAATTTTACATTGATTAACCGTGCTCCTAGCTAAAACTCTGCCTCTCAACGACCAGAAATCGCTTCTTATGTTGCTCAGCAAGAGTTGAGGTCCGCAGTGTAGGAATTTTTTATGAAAATGCATAAAAAGCAATTTAGTAAAAACATGACTCGAATCTAATAACATGGGATGTTTTCTATTGTATGTTTCAGATGAGCTTTGAATTCTCCCACCAACACAGATTATTTGATCGTCACTAAGAAAGGGACTCAAAGATAAAATGAGAGATGATACAGGTAAGTTTTGTTTATTTAAAAATTGTTTTATTTCCTTAGCGAAACAAATTCGTCGATGTAGTTTAACTAACGTCACCAGGGATGATCTTAACTCATCTGTGGTTAAAGATCCTGTAGTTTTAACGGTTTTATTACGTAGATTATTAATAAATCGTTGAACATAGGCTACAGATCTGTGCAATGTTGAGAACTTCGAAAATCTTTCAAAGTTCACCACATCGCCCAGATCTGCAGTTGTTGTAGTGGTTAAGTTCGTAGTGTGTAGTGTAGTTGTAGTGTCGTTTTTAGTGTAACTTTTCCTTTCAGATAATTCAAACATATTTTTTATAGTGAGATTGTTAGGCCAATCAATCTGGTCGTTCATTAGGAACGACGGTCCATTCCACCAAATCTTGGACGAATGAACTAGTTTAGGACTGACGCCTCGTGATGCTAAATCTGCCGGATTTATTTCTCCGGGTATGTGTCTCCAACAAGACTGAGCAGTAAGATTTTGAATTTCCGAGACACGGTTTGAAACAAATGGTTTCAAGTCACGAGGTTCTGACTTTAACCAGCCCAGTACAATTGTGAAGTCTGTCCAGTGAAATGTAGTATCGATGTTGCATTGTAGAGCCTTCAATATCTTACTACTTAAACGTGCCGACAGGAGAGCTCCGCAAAGTTCCAATCTTGGGATGGTAGTAGTTTTCACTGGAGCGACCCTTGTCTTAGCACAAAGTAGCCTTACTAGTACGTTGCCAGAATCGTTAATAGATCGGATATAGACGGTGGCTGCGTACGCTGCTTGTGATGCATCTGAGAACGAGTGCAACTCTATCCTAGTTGCATTAGGTATTAAGGCGCACCTAGGTATTTCAATATCAGAAATTTGTCCTAACTCTTTCACGAATCTGAACCATTCTTTTTCCAATGTGGCGTCTACTGGGTCATCCCAGTTAAGTTTTGAAAGCCACAATTTTTGGAGCATAATCTTTGGAATGATAGTGGTCAGGCTCACTAAACCAAGCGGATCGAATAGCTTTGCTGAGCTAGAAAGAATATTTCTTTTAGTGGCTCTAGATTCACAGTTTATATCAACAGGAAATTGCAAAACATCCTTAGATGGATTCCACTTTAGCCCTAATACACTTGATTGAGACGATAAGTCAAAATTTTTGGGCGAGGACACATTTGAATGGTTATGAACAGTTATAAAGGCATTTGTGCGAAATTTTCGTAACGGAAGGCATGCAGAGTCAAGGACTGACTTCACCGAATTGATCATTTGACTTAAGTCTTCTTCGGTCTCTGCCCCTGAAAGGAAGTCATCAACATAACAGTTTTCTTTGATTTGCTGAGATATATTTTTATCAGCGCATTCTTGTGAGAGTTGCAGCAAGCATCTAGTGCTTAAATATGGTGCAGATGCCGTCCCGTAAGTTACTGTATTTAGTTCATAATATTTAATAGGTAAATAAGGTTCATCGCGCCACAATATCATTTGCAAATGTCTCTGCTTGGGTTCTATTAAAATTTGACGGTACATTTTTTTCCACGTCAGCAGAGCTTGCATACCTATGTTGCCGGTACCTAAGCAAAAAAAAAAATAAATCATCTTGAACTACTGGTCCTACATGCTGAATGTCGTTTAACGAGACGCCACTTGTGGTCCTTGAGGAGGCATCGAAAACTACGCGTAATTTGGTAGTTTCATTATTTTCCCTTATGAGGGCGTGATGGGGTAAGTAACACCCAAAACTCGGTTTATCCACCTCCGTCATGTGGCCTAATCGTTCGTACTCATTGATAAAGTTACGGTAATCGTCCTTCAGGTGTGGTTTATTTTTAAATTTCCTTTCTAGTTGTGTTAACCTCCTTTCTGCAATATTATGAGAGTCTCCTAATACAGTTGAGGTTTCTTTGAAAGGAATTTGAACGCAAAATCTACCATTGCACTCTCGGCGCGTTGTTTCAGCGAAAAGACGTTCGCAATAATTATCCTCCAATTCAGGTTTTACATCCTTTGGGATCTCCTCGATTTCCCAAAAGTGAGTAAGTTGTTCTCTTATTTCACGTGAGAAGTTGCAACTTATTTGACTCGTATTATTTTCGTAATAATTAATATTCATGGGGCCGGCAACTATCCAACCAAGATGCGTTTCTTGTAGAATAGGACGGCGAGGTCCTAGATTCAACTTATTAGTTCCTATTAAGTCCCAAAACACGTCGGCACCTAATAATAAATCAACGTCTTTGGAATGATAAAACTGTGCATCAGCCAACTTAATGTGGCTTGGGATACCTAAATCTTGCACACGTATTGACGCTTGAGGAAGGTGGTCAGTAATTCGCGGCAAAATATAACATTTAGCAGTAAAGTTAAACGCACTATACAGCGATGAAAGTTGTAAGTTACAATGTTCTGATAAATTGAAAGTGGTGTTGCCTAAGCCCGACACACTTTGACAGTTTTTTTTTCTCCTGGGACAATTGATGAGCTTCTGTGCCCTTTCGGACATGAATGAAGATTGACTACCGCTATCCAGTACAGCCCTCAAAGTGTGAATATTGCCCCCATAGTTCACCTGGACCAATGCCGTGGAAAGAACAGCTTGATTGGCGGTGATGGCGGACATAGAAATAGTAGAGGAGGGACTGGAATTATCAGCATTGCTATTAGAATGGGGCTCAGCACCAGGTATACTATTGTTTATAGTTGATGCATCAGGTGGAGTAGGTGATGATTGTTGCTGTTGTTGTGTTTGTGAGATGAATGGTTGCTGTGTGGATGTATGTGTTTTATTATGTAATAATGTGTTATGTTTTTTCTTACAGATGCGGCAGGAACTCAGCCTACACCTATACGACGAATGTCCACTACGGAAACAGTTGGTACACAAATTCCACTGATTAACTGAATTAATTCTTTGGTCCAACGGAAGCGACTTAAATTTGGGACATTCATATAATTTATGCTTTTGGTTGCAAGCCATGCAACTGTCAGACGGAGAAGTCTCATTCGATGAAGAAAAAAATGAATTTGATTTAGACAAACGCCTTTCATTTTTATTATTATGGTTATAGTTGCTAGATGACCTGTTTAAGTTAATTGTCTCCAAAACAGTCGCTCTCTGACGCAAGAAAGCAAAGAATTCCTCTAAGGTAGGAGACTCCTTATCGTTCCTAGATTCCTCCCATTTCCTAGCGGTAACACTGTCTAACTTCGCCGATGCCATATAAATAATAAGCGAGTCCCACTGCTGGGTAGGCTCACCTAACGAACTTGACGCACTTAAATTCTTTGATAAATTGTCAATTATAAGCCGTATTCCCTTTTCAGATTCTTTACAAGAACTATCGACACCATTTACTCAAATAAAGGGAGAAGGAAACGAAAAATAGACAAGGATTGAGCAACTTCCCTCGGTTAGGTTAGCAGCCTCGGTTAGGCAGCTGCTGGCTGGCGAGATCCTGAGGTTGAATATTGCCTCCTTTGTTGATTTCTTAGTCTCCGCTTGGCGGCCTTTTGTTATGTTGTTGACTTTTGTTATGTCATTTGACATTTCGCGGTTTTGCCAGGGCCGAAAGTAAATTCTTAACACTATGAATTGCTTAGTTATTTATTTATTTATATGTTTATTGTACACAAAACACAACAAAAGAAAAATGCAAATAATGTACAAAAGTTAAAGTTAACTCAATGAGTTCTCTGCCAACTAACCCGGTGAGAAAAATGTGTGATTGAATGTAGCCGGTAATTTATTCAGTGCACACAGATACTCATATAATAAATTATCCCATACATAAATATATACATATTTGCTACTACTAATAAGCATACTGTTAGTTGAGTCCCAAGCATTATTTTCGTAACGCTAATGCCTACGCTATCTACGGCCACGACCCAATTCCCTTGTCTGTAAATATGCATACGAAACAAGAAAGCGATGTGTATTTACATACGCAATGTAAGTTTAGCCAGCGGCGACGCCTCCTTGTCTACCTAATAGTCACAGTTTGTCTGTTTGTTTGTGTATCTCGGGAACGAAAGAAGAGATTCCAGAAAATGCTTAGTTAATGAAACGCTACGCTATTACTGAATATGTTTGTATACTCAAGTATAATTTAAAAATAATCTTGTACATAAATTTATTATGACTCAGTGGCGCAGTTGTTAAACTATCAACTTTGGTGGCGGGTTCATGATTTAGACTCCCGTCGGACACGTATGTGATACCTACGAATAATTGTTACGGATATGGGTGTTCATTTCCACTTCAGCAAGGCAGCGCTAATCTTCTATCACCTTACGTGATATTGACAGGGTTACGTGGGTTTCTTACTCGTTTTCATTTTGATTTTTTGAGTAGCCTTTCACGACGGGCGGGGGATTTTATTTTAAAACGAGCTGGCGGTTCACCTGATCTTAAGTAAAAACCGCCGCCCATGGACATTTGCATCACCCGTAGGATGGCAAATGCGTTGCCACCTTTAATTAAGTGGGCCCCGGCTACCTCGCTCACCAAACGAAACGCAGAAGTGTAACACTTCTACTTTACGCCGATCTTCGGCGAGGTCGTGGTACTTACCCGGACGGACCTGCCCATTCGTGCAACAGTTCAGGAGATACCTTAGCCGTATCCTATGAGCCCGATACTACAGGGCTGTGGTTGTATATACCTAGCCTTTAAAACATGACTCATGTTGTGTTTACTCCACCTGGCTGGGATAAGTGTGGGAGAAAGATACATTTATGGTGTTACTGATTCTCACATGTGTGATTATACTATACAATTACGCTTTGTAAGTAAGGCGCAATTGTATAGTTTAATCACACATGGCGTACTCAATGGCGCAGTTGAAAACCTACTGGTTTAGGAGTCTGGAGTCGTGGATTCGATTCCTACAGGGGGCAAGTGTGTCCGTCAAATAATTGTTCCGGATCTGGTTGGTTGTTTCCCATGGAGGGCGGCCGGTAAACAAACAAAACTGCTTGCAACATGATTTGATGACTCCGTGGCGCAGTTGCCTAGGTATTGGCTTCGGCGTCGGGGGTCGTGGGTTCGATTCCCACACGGGACAACTATTTGTGTGACCCACAGTTGTTTCGCATCTGGGTGTTTGTCCGCGTGAAATTTATGTTTGTAAAACGTCCTTTACAACACAGGATAATATTATCCTAAAGTAAGGGCAGTGTTTTTTAACATATAATAAAATAATAATAAATAAATAAATTTACATACAGTGCCGATCTCACTAAGACGGTATAATAGCAGGAGGATATATGTAAGGAGGCATCTATGTATCTGGCGTTTCCTTCGAGATGTAGTAATTAGCGTTATCCATGGAGACCTGCAAATTCGAGGAATTTTAAATGCGTTGAAAACTTCTAAAATTGGCCTCCGTAGTGAGGAACTAGTGAGGTTGATGAGTGCATCAGATGAAATGCAAGTATAATACTCCCAATTTACGCCGGCCTATTGCGAAGTTACACCTTTTGGTAAAAAACCGTGATAGCTCAGTGTCCGGGTTGCCTTTAATTCAATTCACTCGAGTAACCTGAGTTCGATCCCCGGTGCCGGCAACAATGAAATTGTCAATTTTAAGTGCTGACTTATCGCCAACCAATCAAAGCGGGGAATTTCCCGCTACTTTATACTTATGCATAACTATACAGATAAAACAACCTTAATAATAATTATAAATGCAGAATATATATTTAAAAAAAAATGCATTAAAAGGTTGGCGTAAAATAGTTTTATCTGCAATATGTGTAGTGTTCGCGTAAATGAAAAAAATTGTCATAAAAATTGCAATATCTTACAATTAGGGCAAAATATATTTGTAAATGCAAAATAATCATTACGTGTTTTGAATTTTTACAAACCACTCCACTCCGAACTCTGGGAGAGTAAGCCAGTTTATGTTTACAACGTTCGACATATGATATCATGGTTGACCGGTTGTCGTTTAACTTTTTACAAGTTACACGTATAAGTCGATCTCGGCCTTCGCCGAACCACATAAGTTAAAAACCAATACGTAATACAAAACTATATGTTAAAAATGTTTTCTTAGACTTAATTTCTAAATAAACAAACAAATGCATGTTATATCCTTTTTCAGATATTTTTTTAGGGACTAAGCAAAGCTTCAACGAACTTAGATTGTTTCATTTAAGCTGTCAGTAAACTGGTAAATTAGCCATTTTACTGCTTTATTGTTTGCTCTAATCGTTGATTTGAACACAAGCAGATACCCGCGGCATTGTCCGGGCTATATATATATATATTATATATTTATATATAGCCCGGATATATTATATTAGGTATATTATATTAACAACTACACAACTTACTAAATTTAGTAATATTAAATCGCGTAAATACAAGAAATTATAACACGTAGTGCTTATAAAAATTGTTGTTTCTTAACACTTTAATAACTTTACATTATTTATTTAATTATCAACAACAAATTACATACCGAAACGAAGAATAAAGTTTCCAAAAAAAGTTATGAGCGGTACCTTAATTACGGGTAAAAACTACTTATTAACACACAATAAAGGGGGTTTTTTAATACTAGTTTTTCTCAAATGTCTTCCATGTACAGACAAAGACAAAAAAGTTACATTTTTATTATACGTATAGATATCTGTCCCTTCCCCCTATTCCACGCGGACGTAGTCGCGGGTAACAGCTAGTTATAATAATATACACATTAAGCTAAAATATAGTAATAATAATGCATTTAATGAAGATATCAAAGTTTTTGTTTTCGATAAGTCAAGACTAAGAAACAAAACTGATGAGATTTTTTTTATGGAACAAAGTGACAAACGAGCTGTAGGTTCGCCTGGTGTCAAGTGGCCGCCCATGGGCATTTGCAACGCGTATGGTTGCAGACGCGTGGCAACCTTTTAATAAAGTGGGCCCCGGCTACCTCACTCACCAGACGAAACGCAGAAGTGTAACATTTCTACTTAACGCCGGTCACCTGTGTGGTCGTGCTACTAACCGGAGCGGGCCTGGGCATTCGTACAACAGAAAACACCGTTGCGTGGCCCTAAAATGAAATCTATCCAGTAGTTCTGTCGTGATACGTCACAAAGGCATACCTGTATCATTTTTAACAAATGGATATAGTATATCCATATAAACAGCCATCCAGCATATACATAACCATATGAATCAAATGATAGAGGTCTGCTGTTTTCTCTATATATATTTCTCTATTTCTATCTATATAGATTCCAGTATAGCTACATTACAATGTGAATGACACTCAGATGTGAAAAAGATAGAAATAATACGGTACTGAACGTGCTATTGAAGCCCTCTAACAACCGCTGTCGGGAAATAAAGCACACGCACCGTAATTGAAGGGTCTCTGTGTCCTAATACATTACATGTAGGAACACCAGTGTCGCTTTAGTTGAGACCATAATTCTTACTAATAATATGTATTATTACTAATAATAAGTAAACATAGTACAAGCGTTGCTTGTACTATGGTTACTTATTATTTGGTTACTTGATAACTGATAAACATTGGTTACTTGATAACTGATAAACATACTTAAACATACTTTTCTTTTGTAAATAAATACATCTCATACATATATAAACACCTA